TTCCGATTCAAAATTTGCCATGTCCACATGCTCCATCAAGAAAAGATAGTGTAAGGCAATATGCTCGATTCATGGATATATTCAAGCAATTGCAAATTAATATTCCATTTTCCGAAGCATTGGAACAAATGCCCAAGTATGCGAAATTCATGAAGGATATCCTTACAAAGAAGCAGAGGTATACGAATCAAGAAACTATCCTGGTGGATGCTAGTTGTAGCGCAATCATTCAACATACTCTCCCGAGGAAAGAAAGTGATCTGGGACGAGTCACTTTGTCGGTTACAATTGGAAACATTTATGTCGGTAATGGGTTGATCGATTTAGGCTCTAGTATCAATTTGATGCCATTGTCTATTGTGAAGCGGTTGGGATACATGAAGTTGAAGTCTACTCAAATGACATTGCAACTTGCCGATAAATCTACCACTCGCCCTCATGGTGTAGTAGGAGACGTGTTGGTAAATATTGACAAATTTTTTGTTTTCGATCGACTTTATGATGACTGATATGGAGGAAGATGAGGACTCTCCCTTGAATTTTAGCCGATCTTTTATGAAGACTACACACATGACAATTGATATGGATGATGGTCTAATGAAAGTTAGAGTTCAAGATGAGGAGATATGTTTCAATCTTTTTGAAGCCATGAAGCATTCGAAGGACAAGGCTGATTGTTTTAGTATCGATGCAACAAAAAGGGTGATCGAAGAAGTTAAAGAGTTGTTACAAGTTCCAACACCATTACAACAAGTTCTTAGCAATGCTCTTTCAAATGTCAATAAGAAGGAAGAAAAAGAGATTGAGAAATGCTTGTGGGAGCTTGAAGAGTTAGAATAAATTACCCCTTTGAATGATAGGGTGGGAATTTTGAAAAAGGAAAACAGTGAGAAAATTAAACTTGAGTTGAAAGTGTTACCCTCTTATCTCAAGTATGTCTTTCTTAATGAAAAAGGAAACAAGCTGGTGATCATTAGTGTGGAGCTAACCAAGAAGGAAGAGACAAAATTAGTTGGTGTTTTGAAGAAAAATCAAGAGGCAATGGGTTGGACTCTTTCCGACTTGAAAGGTATAAGTCCATCCTATTGTATGCACCAAATATTAATGGAGGAAGATTTCAAGCCGGTGGCTCAACCACAAAAAGATTGAATCCTACCATGAAATAAGTGGTAAAAATGTTGGACGCCAGAATGATTTATCCTATATCTGACAGTCAGTGGGTTAGTCTGCTACAAGTGGTGTCGAAGAAGGGAGGAATGACAGTTATTTATAATGAGAAGAATGGGTTGATTCCAACAAAAACTGTAACGGGTTGGAGGATGTGTATCGACTACCGTAGGCTCAATCAAGCTACGAGGAAAGATCACTTCCCTCTTCCTTTCATGGATCAAATGCTCGAGAGGCTCTCCGGTCAAGAGTATTATTGTTTTATGGATGGATACTCGGGGTATAATCAAATCATTGTCAACCCGGAGGATCATGAAAAAACATCTTCACTTGTCCTTTCGGAATCTTTGCTTATAGGAGGGTGTATTTTGGCTTGTGTAATGCACCAACAACTTTTCAAAGGTGTATGCAAGCAATTTTATCGGACTTGATCGAAAAGACTATCGAGGTGTTTATGAATGACTTCTCAGTTTTCGGTTCGTCATTTGACCTTTGTCTGAAGAATTTGGATGTTATTCTAGAGAGGTGTGTGGAGACTAACTTAGTACTCAACTGGGAAAAATACAATTTTATGGTTACAGAGGGAATTGTGTTTGGACACAAAGTTTCTTCGAAAGGGCTTGAAGTTGATCATGCCAAAGTGGAAGTCATTGAGAAGCTACCACCACCTTTGAACGTGAAAGGAATCAGAAGCTTTTTGGGTCATGCGGGATTCTATCGGAGATTTATCAAAGACTTCGCAAAGATCGCGAAGCCATTGAGCAACTTGCTCAACAAAGATAAGTCTTTTATTTTCGATGAGTCTTGTATGACAGCTTTTAATTCTTTAAAGCAAAGCTTAACCACCGCGCCCATACTCGTAGCACCAAATTAGAAAATTGATTTTGAACTCATGTGTGATGCTAGTGATTATGCGGTTGGCGCGGTGTTGGGTCAAAGAAAAACAAAAATGTTTCATGTTATACACTATGCGAGCAAAGTTCTTAATAAAGCTCAAATAAACCATGCAAAAACCGAGAAAGATTTGCTTGCAATAGTGTATGCATTGAAAAATTTTAGGTCATACTTGATAGGGTCTAAAGTTGTGGTTTACACTGACCATGCGGCGATCAAGTATCTGCTCACCAAGTCGGATTCAAAACAAAGCCTAATTCATTGGATCCTTTTGTTATAAGAATTTGATTTAGAAATTCGTGGCAAAAAGGGATCTGAGAATTTGGTGGCGGATCACTTATCCCGTCTTGTGAATGTTGAGGTTACGAAACATGAAAATGAGGTGAAGGAAGAATTTCCTGATGAAAATTTGTACACGGTGAAAGTTAGACCTTGGTTTGTCGACATGGCTAACCACAAAGCCGCCAGATTCATACCGGAAGGTCTAACTAGTAACCAGAAAAAGGAATTTTTGTCTGATGCCAAATATTTTGTGTGGGATGAGCCTTATTTGTTTAAGCTTGGTATTGACAATATTTGAAGGAAATGTGTGTCTCATGAAGAAGTCAAAGACATACTTTGGCATTGCCACAACTCTCCTTATGGAGGTCATTTTAATGATACAAGAACGGAAATGAAAGTCCTCCAATCAGGCTTTTATTGACCTTTTTGTTCGAAGATGTGCATGTGCATACTAAAAGTTATGACAAATGCCAAAGGAGTGGTGGAATTTCACAAAGGAATGAAATGTCGTTATAAAATATGTTAGAAGTCGAAGTATTTGACTGTTGGGGCATAGATTTTGTAGGGTCATTTCACCGTCTTTCGGTAATGAATACATTTTGGTTACGGTTGATTACGTTTCAAAATGGGTTGAAGCAATAGCAAGTGCTAAGGCTGACGTAAAAACCATGATCAAATTTTTAAAGAACAATATTTTCTCTCGATTTGGTACTCTGCGAGTGTTGATAAGTGATGGAAGATCTCACTTTTGCAACACTCAGCTGGAAAAAGTGTTGGAGCAGTACGGTGTTAAGCACAAAGTTGCAACATCCTACCATCCACAAGCTAATGGGCAAGCCAAAGTATCAAATTGAGAAATCAAAAAAATTTGGAAAAAACTGTGTCTGCTTCAACAAAAGATTGGTCGAGTAAGTTAGACGATGCTTTGTGGGCTTATCGGACGACTTTTAAGGCTCCGATTGGTATCACTCCTTTTAAGATGTTATAACTTTCTTTCAAATCTTTAGCTCCCTTTTATAGAGGCAGAAAAAGAGTCATTGAAAGTGAGTTACATAAGAGTTCTTTATTGAGAAGCAATCCAAGAGAGGCGTTGGAGGATGAAATCGGTTAAGATTATACTCCATTGGATAATAGCATTGTCCAATATGTCTTTCTCATATTAGGTATATACTAAATGATTGTGGCAGACTTAAGAGGTCACATCATTATTCCTTGAGCCTTGCACAATGAAACCCTAATTGACTTTCTCAAAACTCTAGCATTTGACAAGACTTGTCTGCTTTCGGACATAGTACAAATCAAAGGCAGGGAGTTGTCAGCAGAGGCGGGGACACCATGATCAAATTATGATCCTTCAAAAGCTAATATACACGTTCAGAGTCACCAAATTCTGGTTTTTCAGAATCTGAGTCGCTTTGCTTCTCTATATGCTTTTATCAGGGCCAATTCAAAGTTGAATTTTAAGCTTATGATCATGCACACTTGAACATATGTTAGTATACCTAATTGTTCTTTAAATACTTTGTTATCATTAAAATCCAAGGTATATGAACAATTTTGTTCCAACAAATACTTGTAACTTATGTGACGCCAACACTAATGAAGGCAGGTGGAATTTAGATATGCTTTATAATGTGCTTTTGAACAATGTTGTTCAGCGAATTATTTATATTCTTCCTCCTAGTACGGAGAATGTCAATGATGTTTATCTTTGGTCAGAAGATATATTGGGAAAATTTGTTGTTGCAGGAGCATATCATTTATTAATAGTATAATACTTAAATGAAAATGCCCTAATTTAAAAGAGAGTTTGAAAGTTGGATGCTTTGGAGCAAGTGCCAGTTTTCATGTGGCAACTTTTACACGATACTATTCTTACAAGCGGGTGTATGGCTAGGTGAAATTTAAAAGAACCTTATTGTATTCGTTGTGACCAATTTCAGGAAACAACAATGCTTGTTCTTAAAGATTACTTGATAGCTATAGAGATTTGAACTCATTTAGTGGATATTGATAATTATGGAAGATTTTTCATTGAAACTATGTAACAATAGGTTTAGTATAATTTAACTCAAAATATTGGTTAATATGGTGATAATAAATGGAGAGATATGTGGACTATACTTGTTATTGGCTTTGGCAATGATGATACAAACAAGTTCGTGATGACAATTATAGAAGTATGTGGAAGCCTTGGGGTTTATCTTCGATCAAGTTAAATGGTATCAAAACTCAAAAGGCATGCAAAAGATGGACTTGAGCACTATTAAACAAACAATTAATGTAAGTTGATCTCATCGTATGTATGGGTGGACGTGTTTGACTACAAGTGGTGCTACTTGGATGGATAGACATATTGGAGGTTGTGGGGGTGTTATTCGCGATAGCAACGACAAGTGGATTGCTGAATTTATTTAGTATTTAAGCCGAACTTCAATATATATGGCAAAATTATGGGGTCTTTTACGAAGGCATGTATTTAATTAGAAGATTTGGTGTCATAGAAAAATAGAAAAATAATGGGTGGTTTAAAGATGATTGGTTTTCCTCTATTGAACGTTAGTCTAATTTTAGAGTCACAAATTTTATATTATTTGCTCTCTTTTTTCACTTCGATATCTTTAGCATACTCACTCATCTTCCTTACATTCTATTCCATGGATTCCTCAGTAAACAAATCCACCTTCCCAATTTTCACCACCAACCCATTTTTGCTCTCCAAAAGATATTCTCTCAGACCCTTCAAGGTTTCCATCAAACCACCACCTCCAGACTTCAATTACAAGCTAGAGATATCCAAAGAATCCAGAGCTGTCATAGAAGAATCTTATCCTGAGTTGCTTGACTTGGCTGACAATGGTAGCTTGGTTTTGGTACAGAAGAAAAGGTTTGGCCCTGTTCCTTCTTGGAGGACTGAATTTGTTGAACCTGAATATATTTGGCTGATTGGAACTACTCATGTTTCAAAAGAATCAGCTATGGAGGTTGAGCGTGTTGTGAAGGCTGTGAAGCCAGATAATGTAGTTGTTGAGCTTTGCAGAAGCAGGTAATTTAGTACGGATACTCTCATTTCAGAATATGAATTTTTCTGATTATTATTACAGTTATAATAATCTCCTATAATTGTATGATGTTTGTTCCGGTCGAGATCAAGTTCGCGCCACATCTTTGTCCTTTAGAAAAAGTGACTCACTGGGTTGTGGGTTGAGGTGTATGAGTGCTGTATATAAACTATCTGTAACCTTGATTTCCAAGCAATGTAAAGCTATTTTGGTAAGCTCGAAACATTGGCCCCCAGTTGAGGCTAAATGACACGGTGCGAACTTCGAGTTCCTGCAGACACCACCGATGTTTTGGTCGACCTCACATTCGTGCCGTTGCGGCTACGATGTATTGTCTGCTTTGGAGTGAGAACCCTCACGGCTTTATGTTTTAGAAAAGGCGCCTTGATGGGTTGAGGTGTACGAGGGTGTTGTAGATAGACTATCGTAGTCTTGATGGGAACAATGTTAATTAAGTATGTTCCAACCGAAATCATAAGAAAATATATAAATGAGTTTTGTTATGTATTGTCAATCTGCATCATAACTTAAATTGCTGCAGATTTCATTTCTAGAGCTGGGATTATGTATGCTGATGATGATCAGCTTGACAAACAGTTAAGGTCTACTATGTTTTCCTTAAGCGGAACTGGATTTTTTGGAGCTATCGGTCGTAGCATAAACCTTGGTAAGCACAATTTTGTTCTACATGTTTATTGTTTATCATAAGTTCGTTTTGAGATGTTTATTGTTGTTGATGGTCTAAATCTCAGGTGGTCAAACTGCTTTAGCATTGAGATTACTTTTGGCCGCGTTTTCATCAAAGATCTCTTCGGATATTGATCGCCCTTTTGGTGATGAGGTAGTTTCAAACTCTTCTATATTTATAGCTTTTCGAAGTAGAACTCATTTTGACAAAACAATGTCTATTATGCAGTTCCGTGCTGCTCGTAAAGTATCAGAGGAAATTGGCGCACAAATAGTTTTGGGAGATAGGCCAATTGAAATAACAGTATGTACATATTACATAAATAAATTCAAAAAATGTTTCTGATTTTTTATATATTGAATTTGAAACCATGGGAGACAGCAGAAAGATTCTGTATGATCTTAGGATGATGATGGAGTCTATATTCTGTTTCGCAGCTTCAGAGAGCATGGAAGGCTTTGAATTGGACTCAGAAGTTGAGTTTATTGAGAATAGTTATCAGTGGAATAACATCTTCATCAGGAATTTCTACGAATAAGCTCGAGGTTACTTCTCTTGCCTAGATCAACTTCAATTTGTACTAGTTATTTTAATCTGTGATACATTTCTTGCTTTTTTATATGCAGAAAGCAAGTTCAGATGATGGTACACTTCAGCTCTACGAGCAACTGAGTTTTTCATATCCATCCCTACTGCCACCGCTTATTCATGAACGAGATACCGTAAGTTTTTCTTCTTGCGCTCACTCAAAATTTTCGTTACAGTAACTTTTTACACGCGACAAGTCCTACAACTGTTTTCTTGCAGTATCTTGCATGGTCTTTAAAGAGGAGCAAAGCTGTGAATAACTGTAAAAGGGTGGTAGGTGTAATTGGAAAAGGCCACATGAATGGTGTTATATATTCACTGTTAGCTGATACCGGGGATTTGAGGTTTCGAGACCTTGTTGGAAAAAATTCATCTGGAGGTTCAGGTGGCTGGATTGATGGCTTAGTCAAGAGTTTAGTGAGGGACACTGTGATTGGCATTGTCCTATGGGCTTTATATGAGTATATAAATGATGGAACATAATGCAAGACCATTTATATATGTTTTCATGTTTTTGACAAAAATCTCAAAAGATGTTAGGTATATAATGAACATAATAACTCAAAAAGCAGGTTAGTGATTGTATGATTTCTTTAGCAAGTTATGAGAAACTTATATGTAAGTAATAGTTATAATTGATCCACATATACAAATCTAAAAGTTTTACTTCCTCGAAGAGCCAAGTAAGTTTCAGAAATAGTAGAAGAAGTAGAAGGAGATATAGTAGAAGAAAAAAAGGAGAAGAGTAAAGCAGAATTACATACCTCAAGATGACCTTTCGCCGGAGTTCTCGCCAGAAGGCCTTAAGCCTATTTCATTTGTCTTTACTCTTACGCATTCTATTGTTGCATGCACCCCATTCTCTTTATTGTTTTTTATTTATATTATTTGATTAGGAAAAAATCATTTAACAAATAAAATCAATCTTTTTAACATTAAAACTCTTGATAACATCAAGCTATTTTAAGACCAAATTCAAACCCTTCTACCATCTAATCAAACCATTTTCAAAACAACGCGAATCAAAACAGTGGACTTATTTATATCAAGTTCTTTTATGCTTAAAAAAAGTTTCAAAAACTTTTTCGCAATAAAAATTGGATGAAAAAGAATTAGTTAGATGTAATTATCCATCTTAGTCTTCGAGGATTAAGATGATGATCGTACTTAGCCTACCATTCGAGTACTTGTCTTTCGTTCAAAACACGATATATAAACTGAATCTATTTCATTCTTTAGTGGATGAAAAAGGACTAGTTGGACGTAACTATCTATCCTAGTCCCGAATATTTGGACGATGGTCGTAATTAACCTCCCATTTAAATACTTGTCTTTCATTAAGGACACATGACTTAATTCGCCTCACAAATTTATTAAGTAACTTGGATGTAAAAGGATTAGTTGTATGTAATTATCCATCTAAGTCCCCAAGTATTTGGACGATGACTGAAATTAGCGTACCATTTGAGTACTCGTTATCCGCTCAAAAATATACTCAATAAATCAAACTATAATTTCTCGCCCCCGCGCGATGTCAAAACCTTTGCACGAACGAACAATGTTTTATATGTTCTACCGCGATACAAACAAAGGCCACAACATTATAAGTTACACCAAATTGTCACATAAATGCAAATGCAACACGACTCATGCATGTGGTACTAATCAAAAAAATTCGATGGACACTGGGCCATCAACACTCCTTAGATCCACAACAGTAGGATCGATACTACAAGAGAACCGGAGCACAACAAAATATATCAGATCCGCACAATGGGACTGAAGCCACGAGAATCAAAGTCCTGAACCGAAGTTCGGAATGCATATGAATGCATGATGCACACGTCAATATCATCCTCATAATAAACTCATCAAGTGCATCATCATTCATCAAAATAATCATAAGAATCACGTAATCATAGAATCATCAAAACTCATGTAATCAACGTCACAAATCATCACAGTTCCTCATGGGGATTCATCATGCAATCATGTATTAATCACATAGGAATCACAGTTATACTCATGGTAATTCATCATACATTCATTTATTCACATATGAATCACAGTAATACTCATGGTAATTCATCATATTCATTTAATAACATAGAAATCACAGTTGCACTCATGGTAATTCACCTAGAAAATCACAGCATCAAAGTATCAAGACATCACTGAACCAGAACATAATTAACTTTCCAAACATATTAGATATAAAAATATTAGGAAACCAATTCTCTTATCTATACCATGTTATAGTCATGTTCATTAGTTTTCCAATGCTTCAAACGGGGACCAAAATAGACTTACGAATCAAAAGTTACGTCCAAAATGATTACAACCGAAAACATGAACAGTCGTAACGGACAACATGCATAATTTTATGCATTTTTCACCGATGGAGGCCTTTCGGACCTCCGATTTTGATTTCGTAAACATCCAAACTCAGAAAATTATAACTCATTCAACAATATAATTATCTCGAGTAAATTTACAATTTTAACACAATTAAACCATCTAATCATCATTTTAAGATTATGCCTAAAACCTTTAAAATTAATGGATTTAATCAAAAATCAGACCATCAGTTCAAATCTCTCAACTCATTGAACTCACCATCATAAAGGCAACAACAATTCAATTAAAAATCTCTAAATTCTTAAATCAGCTTTAAACATATTGAATCACATATTGAAAACAATGAAGGCAATACTCTTCATACCTTAATTGCCGACTATAAGTCTTTCTCCTTGATTTTTAGAACCCTCGCGAAGCTTTTGCCTCAATTCTCTTCCTCAGAGCTCTGACTTCTATTTCTTCCTTTTTCACGGTCTAACAAGAATGAATCATAATTCCCTCGAAATTCTTTTTTTGTTAAACCTAACTTTGGACCTTTAAAATGGGCTTTCCAACTTCACCCTCACTAACTCCTCCTCAAAAGTCCACTTTGCCCTCAATTCACTTATATTTATTTAAATTAATAATAATACCAAATATATCTATATTATATACTATTATTTAAATAAATAACTCAAAACTCCATAATTCTCAATATTCACACCAACCACCGAAAATCACCAAAAATACAAATATTCATATTTAAATAACTTAAATAAATATTCCAATAAATTTGGGGTGTTACAAAAGACGTGGCGGAGAACCTAGAGATTAAATGGGACGTTTAAGGGTTTACAAGAAAAATCTTGGAAGCCAAGGCCATAGCAGAGAAAAAAGTTAAAATTTGGAAGGAATTTAACACCACTCTGGCCCTTCTCATCTATGGGATTGTCCTATTTCCAAATATTAATGATTTTGTGGACTTCTTGACTATCAACATCTTCCTGGATAAGAACCTTGTTCCAACTCTCCTCGCAAATGTATATTATTATCTCCATGCAAGACATGGAAGAAGAATGGGATGGTCATGTGTTGTGCTCTACCACCATACACTTGAATCATATCTGACATGTCTCAAGAAGGTCATTTATCGCAAAAAAATATCAAATGGCCTCAAAAGCTGGCATCCTTTACTTCCACCTTTTTCCTTTGGTATAAGTGAGATTGGGAAGTAGATGGCATCATCCTTAGCTGAGGGGACTTTCCCAACGTGCCTCTCATAGGATCTCGATGGTGCATTAACTATAATTGTGTCTCATCCATGAGACAACTCGGTTATACGATGGATAATCCACTAGAAGATATGTTGTTGAAAGACTTGATCCTACATGACATGGGAGAAGAATACCCAGTTATGCTAAGGAAGATAAGAAGATCCTGGGAAAGGGTTAACCGAAAAGGAATTGGGTAAAAGAAATTGTGTGACCAAAGAATCATACTTCTAGTGGGTGAAGAAAAGGGTGTAAGTCATCAAATTTGTTAGAACAAGACTTGATTATGTTCATTATCTCTAAATTTTGATAATAACAAAGTAATATTTGTGTGAGAACAAATTTGGTACTTTAACGTTTGTTATTCTGAAGTTTTAACAAACAGGTTCTGACTCAGATAAAGACTATATGCAATGACAATCTGGTTTGACCAAAAGTCACTGATGCACCAAAGAAGCAAATCTACTTCTGATCTCACATCTAGAAAGATTCTAAGAAGAAAATATGTTATTGCTGCAAAGTTCTCTTGGATTCTGCCTCTGAGCGTGACTCTGATGATTTACTTATGAAAGCTTTCTAGCTTCTGAAGTTGTTATCTTCTGAAGATTATGTGCTAAAGACTCTGAAAAAAATGTTTTGTTGAACAAAGTTCTGAAGACTTAAGTTTTTGAAGACCAAGGGTTCTGAAGACTAGGTGCTAAAGGTTTTGAAGGCAAGGTTCTGCTTAACGAAGTTCTGAAGACTCAAGACTTTGAAGACCTAGTGATTAATTCTTATACGCATGATAGTATAAGGCAAAATCACCTTGGCAGGTGAACTGGATTAGCTTGATAGTTTTCAAGTGAACCAGGATATATTGTGTGACTTTTTCTCTTGTTAGTGTCTTTGTGATCTTTGTTTGAGTTTCACAAAAAGCTTTCATTTTTGAAAACCCAATTCAAACCCCCTTTCTTGTATTTTCTCACACCTTCAATTGGAATCAGAGCTCTGATTCTGATTGTGATAAAAGTTTTATCAACATTTCAACGTGTTCAGTACCGATCCAGTATTTGTGTGAGATATCATGGTTCTTGCTGCTGCTAATCCTATTCCAAAAGAGAAAGATCACTGCAGTTCCAAACCACCACTCTTTGATGGTGAAAAGTTTGACTACTGGAAAGATAAAATTGAAAGTTTCTTTCTTTTTTATGATGTGGATTTTTGGGATCTTGTAGCTGATGGCTACATTCACCCAGTTTATGCTGCACGAGTAAAAGTGTTAAGAAGTGCTATGATAAATCAACAAAAGAAAGAATACAAGAATTGTAACACCCTTGACTACCCCCAAAACAATAATCAAATATTTAAACTAGAAAATATAACCACAAGGGTGTCACACCCATCAAACAACATTACCTGCTCCGTAACACGGTTTACCACAGAAATAAATTCAAATCCACATCATAACAAAGAAAGAAACTTTCAATTTTATCTTTCTAGTAGTCAAACTTTTCACCATCAAAGAGTGGTGGTTTTTGGGATCTTGTAGATGATGGCTACACTCACCCAATTTATGCTGCATGAGTAAAAGTGTTAAGAAGTGCTATGACAAATCAACAAAAGAAAGAATACAAGAATTGTAACACCCTTGACTACCCCCAAAACAATAATCGAATATTTAAACTAGAAAATATAACCACAAGGGTGTCACACCCATCAAACAACATTACCTGCTCCGTAACACGGTTTACCACAGAAATAAATTCAAATCCACATCATAACAAAGAAAGAAACTTTCAATTTTATCTTTCCAGTAGTCAAACTTTTCACCATCAAAGAGTAGTGGTTTTTGGGATCTTGTAGTTGATGGCTACACTCACCCAGTTTATGCTGCAT